GCTGGTTTCCGGGCGCCGGGGGGGAAATCACCCCAGGGGCTTGGGGATGCCGAGCCCCTGCCTCCCCGCCAGCTCCGGGGCTCTGCGCAGGGCTCCCCCTCGCCGTCTCCTGCACGGCGGCCCCTCGCCCCGCCTGCCCATCCTGCGTCTCCCATTCCGAGCTGCTGGTGAGACAGGCCAGGGCCGCTCCGGGCGCCCGGCGGGGCAGCTGCCAGGGGGGAAGGGCCCTTTGGCTCCTCTCGCTGGTCCCTGAGTCCCCGGGAACGGCCCGACTCCCCCTGGGCCGGGAGCCGAGACAGGCGGGCGCGCACCGCATGCATACGGAACATGCATACAGAACATGCACGGGGGACGCGCCCTGCGTGGGCGGACACGCGTGGGCGGGGAAGGCGCTGTGGAACCGCACAGGTGTGCCGAGCCCGGCTCGTGAGGCCGTGCGGGTCCCTGTCTTGCGCGACAAGTTTAAACAGCAGGCCTGGGGGGCAGGGGCCCCAGAGCCTGACGCTCACAGCTCACCCCCCCCCCTCCATGTGCAGGAGGCAGGGGGGTGGAAATATCCCCAGGGTCCTGCCCTTCCTAAGACAGGATCCCCTCCCGGGTTCCTGGAGGGTTCGTTCCTTTTAACGGGCTGTATGTAGCTCAGTGATTTTTGGAGGCGGGCCTTTGTCATCAGCAAAAAGCAACACTGTTAGACTAAAAAGGTCATTTAAATGTGGCAGGTGAGTGGTAGTTTGAGGACGCGCCTCCGATGGCCGGGTGAACTCCTTCAGCGTGGGCACCTAACCGTCGGCGCTGTTTATGACCGTCGTTTAATAGCCGCTGACCACGCGTTTACCGGATGGGTGACGCGGCGCAACACTTGCAATAAGCAGTTTGGGGCCGTGGGAGGAAACTGCTCCTAAGTGGACCCCAGCGGCTGCCGGTGATATGGTAACATTATGCCAGGCAGACGGTAGGGCTGCTACAAAGTGTCATGGTTTATTTCTCCATTCAGAAGATCATTCTAAGGCAGTTTAAACTGCTCCTCTGGTTCTACACAGGACTCCCCCAAACCTTCCGACTTAATGGAATGTTTGGAAGAACGCTGTTCATTTTTAAGGGTAGTTCTCACCCATACCTTTGGATTAAGGAGAGTCTAATGTAGCTAATGTAGTCAAGCTAATGAAAACATGCATAATTTTCTAAATGAAAATGCATCGTAATGCCTTGTGGATGTGGTGAGTGCCCAGCACGGTTCCAGCAGCAAAGCGGGGTCCCTGCCTGCCCTGCTCACTGCTCTGTCCCCGGGGGAGCACCGCATGGCAGGCACCCTGTAGGTGTTCAAGAAGCATCCGTTGAGTAAATCAATGAACTTGCTCCTCCGAGAACAACAGGGGAGTGTTTTCACGTATAAAATTGGTGTCACGGGTTAGGAATCCCAATCTCCACATCCCCAGGTAAACGCAGTCCGCACGCTCACACGGCACCCTGACACGCAAGGCACGGGTCAGTGTAGAGAGGCCGCTCCGGAGCTGCCTCGGTTCACAGCCCAGCTCTGCCACTTAGCACCTCTGCAAACCTGGGCCAGGTGCCTGACCCCTTTCTGCTGAGTTTCATCACCTTTGCGAGGCTGGTATGAGGTTCATCACAGTTAATTATCCAGCACAGAATGAGCTCCTTTATTGTGTTGAAATCCTGTGAAATTTAACTCCTAGCCGTAAATGCACCTCTCCTGCCTTAACCCGGGCGTGCTGGCCTCCACCCCAGTCCCGTCCTTGCTTTACTGCTTGCGAAACGGCCCTGGGGGTGTCCATGCTTCCACCCGCGTATACAGTTTTCTATAGATTTGTGCACATCCCATCTCCTCTCCCGGATGCTAGCCCATCCGGGAAGAAGACTTCACCTCCCCTCAGAATTCTCAGTGTCCCCATCATTTGTTCATATTCGGTGACCAAACGTTGTTGTTGGATGACTCATGGTTGGCTAACGATCCATCCCTGAGATGGAAGTTAGCTCGCGTTATAAAGGTGCCATCGCTGAACTGAGCCTCCATGAATATTTTAGCAGGTTGGTTACTCACAAATGGGGCGAAGCGGAGGAAAGAGCCTGAGCTGCGTGTGTGCCTGTGGGCTGGTTGCTTTACCTTCTCAAGCCTGCACTTTGGGGACAAAATGAACTAATCTTTCTTATCTCTGGGCTTAGTTTCACAATTAAATGAGAATATGTAGAGTACTTGGCATAATGAAGGTCCTTATTAGAGTGTTTCTTCATTTTATTTTAATTTTTTTATCTTCACCCAAGGATATGTGTGTTTTTTATTGATTTTAGAGAGGGAGGAAGGGCGGGGGGGGGGAGAGAAACATTGATGGGTTGACCCTGTACACGCCCTGACTGGGGATTGAACCCAAAACCCAGGTGTGTGCGGGGACCGGGGATCGAGCCTGCAGCCTTTTGGTGCCTGGGACACTCCAAGCAACTGAGCCACCCAGCCAGGGCCGACCTCTTATCATTGACATCACAGCACACTGCTTCCTCGCAGAATGCCTTCAGAGCCTGATGTAGGAGGTAGCTATTTTCTCAAGGAAACGGGAAGAAAAACAGCTATTAGAGTAATTTGTCTATCTGTCTTTCAGGTGCCGCTGTAAGGGGGTATTTACCCCAAAGGCCAGATGCGTCTGACCGGGACAAGTGGAACTTGTCTTCAGCTAG